CCTGGTCTCCTATTAGCCCGTTGGCCACTTTCTCGTGCCTGGTAACTGAGAACTGGTTTGTTTTTACCACCTGGTGAAAAAAGGGAAAACCAAAACACAACAAAAACCCGAGTAATCCAGGCTGTAATTATGTGCTTGTTTGTTTTTTAATTAAATAACTTCTTAAAATCGCATATTATGCTTTTGGTGCATTTGAAGAGTAAACATGAAGAAACAGTTCGACTAACCTCGCCGTCAGTTTTCACGTAGATGGTAGGAACAATTTTCACAAAATACTGGTACATCATTGATGCTGTGAGGAGGAAAGTTTTTACCATTAAAATATGAAAGCAGCCATATTAAAAAACATAATAAAAAAATCTAGACTTCAAACCCAACCACAGCTCTATTCTATTGTCTCAGATATTAAAACAAGTATTCATGACATGTTTTATATTTAGGACTATTTTTAATTCAGTTTACAACACAGTACAATCTGAAAACACATCAAACCCTAAAAAGAGGAGTCACACACACACACACACACACACAGTGAAGATTACAAAGCTGGATCACAGCATGTCAAATAACTTCAAATGAATGCATAGAACTAGTTGTTTGAAGATTCCTTATCCAGACAATATTTTTATATTTCAGCTTTGTGCCACTTCTCATCTATACCTCAGGAAATGAGACCCTTTCTGCTGGCTACTAAGATTGATTTCTGGATCACAGGCACTAAGGACAGGGAAGACCAGGAACCGCAAATCCATTATTATATCCCAAAGAACCAAAATGTTTTTTGATTAGGAAAGCTTTTTGTCAGAATCTTGAAAATTACAGGAGGGGGTTCTGTACTCAAAACATATGATTTAAATTTGGATTAAATCTACATCACAGGTTTTAAAAAACTGACCTCAAAACAAAGGAGTAACAGTGATGTGTTAAAGAACACAATAGTGTGAATGCATTCACACAATTAGCTGCTTAATGGAAATAAATGGGAAAATTGTATTAAATGTTGTAATAAAACACAACCACAGGATGGCGCTGTTTGCTACCCCCCCTCCACGTTACCGTAGCTCTTTATGACCTTCCTCTATCTTTTTCTTCTTCCTCTATCCGGTTATGGAAGTCTGCTTGAAAGGCATTTAAAAGCTCACGAGAAACCTGAAGTTTCAAATCTAAAAAACCCCTCCGTTTTAAACACACAATTAAAGGTAAGCGTGACTTCGGACTCATTCTTTTTAGAAATCACACAGGCTGT